CTCGAAATTATATTATAGAAGAAAAGTTATTTTCAAATAGCTACACTTACAATCCCATATTCCCTATTGAGTGTACTATAAGAAAACTAATTTTTGATGTTTGCCTAGTAGGTGGCAAACTAGCAAATAGCAAATACGCTGTGCTCGTATCACGTAGAATCCAGCGTTATGAAGTTATTGAATAATATATAACACATAAGTATTTGTGTATATTCAGTCGGAATCACAACGTGCTCTTTTTTATATTGCACGCTGAATATATTTCGTTATTAGTTTAATATAGCCTTAAATCGAATTGCATTAGGTATTCAAAGTATTAAATGATAAGATTTATTTATTTCGTCTAGACATGTTGAATGTTATGATAGACATTCCTATCATTTTAAGTTGAATAAAAATAATGAAAGGTGTGAAATCTAATATGAAGAACATTAACCATTTAATTAATTGGCTCGAACAGTCTGTTAGCTACATAAAAATATTTCAATGAAAATTGCACTACGATAATTTTGGATTGGATGCATAAAACGGGTCAATAACGCCTAAAAATCCATTGCCTTGATTACAGGCAAAGGATTTTAGGCGACAAAAAATATTAAAAAAAAATTAATATTGTGTGTGTGAGATGACTGTGATAAGGCAGGCGTGCCTCCGAATGGCACAATTGGTGTTAATGTGCGCTAACATGTAGGAATGTCGAAGGAAGCATCGGCGAGCCGTCCTGCCAGTGAACAGCAGGGCTAAAAGAAGTGTACTTCACCTTGATAAAAATATAAAAATATTAAACCTTGAAGTTACATTAGTTATTTTTTGTTCGATAAATCCATTCAAAGACTAAGCACAGATGACATCATTATTCAAGTATCATTGCTAAAGATCTAAGTAAAAATTCAATTTGTCAATTACTTATAGTAGTAGTAGTATAAGTACATACTTTTCAACATATTAATCATAATGAGCTACAAATTTAATATGTTTTCCATATAATTTTTTTGTAACTATGACATACTTTAGAAGCGATCTGTTACATAAGTACGCCATCATTATCGTTCAAAAGTTATGTAGTTAATAAGGTTACATTTTGCAGGTGCACATTTTGCTGCAATCGAGGTCGATTTACAACCTAATGGCAACAAACTGTATTCATTTCCTTTTTCGCTATCTGATTACTCTCCAACTATCCGTAAAGGTCATTATTATTCGTTTTTCACCCAGCATCCCATCTGTTAACATATCACGGTAATATCATAGGTAAGTAAGTAGTTAAGAGGCGAGACACGTATCGACTTGTTACTTCGTTAGCCGTCGTGAGATTTTCTTGAAACCGGCAATACAAAATATAAGCACCACGAAATGATACCTACGAGTATGTGCACATTCTTATTAACAAAGCCAGTGATATTTTCAGATACAAGTTTTCTTTTCACATTTGTGAAATTCTGACGTCAGCCTGTATCCCACGTTACTAACATGTCCAAAAGTTTGAATTTGCCTTTAGCTGAGACTATGTTAAATGTATTTCTGTTCAAACTAACTAAACACTAGAACGAGGTGAATTCAACAAAGGCAAAGGCATTTGATGGCATGTGATACTCTACTAATACTATAGTATATTTCACAAGTAGAGCCGTGGTAGCTCAGATGGTTAACGATCGCTGTAAATATAACAGAACGCGAGTAACCCGGGTTCGATCCCCGCCGGCACCAGTGAAATTGTTAAGAGCAATTTTATGTGCTGATACCACCTGATGAATACCACGTGCTTCGCGGTGCAGGAAAACGACGTGAGGAAACCTGCATGTCTGAGGAATAAGAAAAAAAATATTTCGAAGACATATGAAGGTCGCCAACACGCATTGGGACAGCGCGGCGGACACTTCCTTGCACTTAAACCCTCTCAGAAATGAGGGAAGGCCTGAGCCTAGCAGTGGGACGTATATAGGCTGTAACTTCACTTTACTTAAAATAATTTGCATATCTGTTCAAGATTAGAGATATAACGTTGTAAATGTAATGTAAAAAATGGGTATCAAAATTGTAGTCTGATAATAAAACAATTACCCCTAGCTTCATATTCTTGTACTTTTTTACTTTTCTAGTTTCATTCAAAAGTTAGCATACAAATGGAAACAGAATCAAAAATAATCGATAGTTCATCTCCGGTTATATTTCATTACGTTTTATACTTGAGAAGGTAGGCAAGTTTCCTAGCAAATTTTCTGTCCTTGGTTCCGTACCGGTTTTCGTTTCCAGTAAAACGGTTCTCCGGTTCTCTAAACTCACCATAAGGGACACAGCAGCATCAAGCTGTAATTTGACGCTGGTATTCTGTGAGTGTTTCTGTTGCTGTAACGTTGTAGGTTGTGACGATATAATGAAAATTAAAACAGAAAGAACGAAATCATAAGCTATCCTTCTTGAACCTTAAACCCACCATGTTATTAAGTCATCATTATAATTATTTATTAAATATGTAGTTAATTTCTAATAAAATAAAGGTACCAAACAGTAAAGTTAAACATTAAAGTGTTAATTAAGCGTTTAGTACCCTTAATTCTTGTATAACATAACCTCAGCTGCAAACTGATTTAAAACTCTGTTGTCCCGCAAAAGCTGCTTATATACTTCCCTTTAGAAATATTAATGACCTTGTTTTTTCCTTTGGTAAGGTAGTATTTACTTCGTATTTAGTAGGTAAAATAAAAAAATTTTCGCATTATAAATTTAGACCCTTGGATCAAGAAGGAAATTAACCTTAACGGGTAACTGTTACAAGAGTACAATGATAAATTGGTTAGAAAAATATTAGGGAGTTAGAGTTATTATTTGGAGTAAGATTTATTATTTTACGCCCGTATTGACATTATAAATAACAATTGTACAAGTTATTTGTACGACAGGGAATAGTTTTTAAAATGTCATAAAATATATCTTAAGATAAATATATATAGTTGTTGTTGAGACTCCAACTCTATGTTATTAAGCAAAGAATTGAAAATCAATATTTTGAAAAAATTCCTTTAATGCCTCAAAGGAAAAATCCTTTAAGCCGAGTCCTTGTTACGAGAAGAATAGCGGAGTTTCTTTTGGAGTCAAGTTAATAAAGATCGATTTATTGTCTTGGTTAGTTTGGTCGTTCAAAAACAAATATAACAAAGAGGCAAAGCTTCTTACGCGTCGCCTTTGGTGTGGCTTGTAAAACCCGACGTAAATAGCACACAGTCACAATAAACGTGAAAAGTAAAAACCTACTGGAAAATGTACGATGTGTGACGGAATCTACTCACCTATTGCAAAGGTAAAGTAGGACCTGTTAAGACATGCGGAAAGTCTCCTGCTCTGAACCATACTTAGAGGCATTGATTGTGGTAGGCTTATGTACAGCAGTAGACGTGTGATGGGCTGCAATGATATGATGACTATGGTGGTGGTAATGATAATGAAAATGATGACGAAAGGTACAGTAATGGTTTTGCGCCTCAGTGCACATGCCATAAAGTGTACGGGCGCTCTATAAAGGGTATATTAAAATAAATATATATATTTTATTGCGATATTAGCACAAACATTTGTGAAACTCATAAATCGTAGTCTTAAATACGCCATGTGATTACTTTCTTGAATAGTTTATTGCTTAATAATGGTTCACTTAACATGAAATCATTACAATACAATGTATATATTTCGGTCATACAATACAATATCTTCACTTCCATATAGAAATAGAAATAGAAAATGTATTTATTTAACCAAAAAACATTACATAATTAAGCAATACACTGGTTTCTGCACTAAGCTCTAGGCTTGTATCGCAGGAACCAAGAACATTGACTGACACCGTTTACACCGATAAATACATAGAACTCCGATTAAATTAAAATGAAGCGAAAAATAAATCCTTTTTTTTTTTTTTTTTATTATATAATGCACTATCTTTATACTATTGCAATTTTTTTAAATATATGTAGACATTTTTATACAATATGTATCTTCTCTCATTGTGGCTTAATTTCACCGTTGTGCAAGTCTAATTACGCAATAAAATTGAAATCGGAGATCCAATTATATGTATAACACTATGGTAGGGCTCTTGTTCTGTCTATGAGTCCATCTGATTAGATAACAACCTCTTAATTATTTCTACCACCAAGCAACAGTCAGTAACAGAGCCGGTATAATTACAGCTTGTGCGTCATTCCATTTTAATCATTTCCACCCTTTTTTCAACGTGGTAGAGCCACGCTGCAGCTACATTATGGTTGTAGCAAAAACGAGTCGACTCGACCGGGGTAGGACCACGCTCTCACAAAATACCACTGTAAAATAGCAGCTCAATACTACCGTGTTTCTTATGGTCAGTGTATAAAACCGGAACCGAAACACTTTTTACTGGAAACGAGTCCTCGGGTGTGGCAACGCATTTACATTACAATTCCTAATCGAGGATAGATGTCGTTAGGCCACAGCATCCACTTAACATCCAGTGGTGGACTGTGTGCTCGTTAGTTAAAAACGCATCTGTAGCAAAGTTAGTTGCAGGTGTTCATGAGACAGCTGTAGCCACTTAGCATTAGGAGAGCTGGAAGTTCGTTTGAGAGTTCAGTTTATAAAAACATACATAAATACTTATGTCGATCCCGGGCAGTAAGATAAAATAATTCAAAAATTTAATGAATTGAATTACTCATAACCAATATAATTATTATTTGAGTTAGATATCCATTTGTTAACAAAATGTTTTTAGACAAAATATAAAAAAAATTTGGTAATTGATTTCCGGAAAATAGAAAATTAAAGAATTTCTTTCACATTTTTTGATGCCAACATTACTACGTTCTTTAATTTTAAATTATAATTGAGAAAATTAACGTTTAAATGAGGGAAAGATACAAAATTAACATAAATAATTATTCCAGTATAATTTGTAAAGCAGGGAATTTAAAAATACTTATAATTTACGGTATTAATTTGTGGTTTATATAAGATAAATATTTCTATACCAAGATAGGTGCTATTAGTTAGAACCCAGAAGATTTTCAAAGGATCCACCATAGCGGGTGCAGAGAGCACCAACGGCGCTTCACCGCATGGTGCACTTCCAATTGTTAACGATGATTAGTGTTTGTAACACACACACACATGCAACTTGACACACACATAATATGTGAAAATGTAGATATGAAACTAAATCACAAAGTCACTTAAAGTATTCATTATCAATATGAGCGAAATTATCACCGTAGAGGAATGTGTGCGTGGGAAAAGATACGGAGTGCGCGCAAGGCGGGCGGTCGGCTAGAAGCCCGTCGCAAACTGCCGCCTCGCCGAATCTGCCCCTTAAAACCCCGCCTAGCCGCCAGAGTGTCAAAAGGACAGCATTTTCGAATACAAAAACACTTTTTAATAAATTTATTTTTCAGAACGTTATATAACGATGTGTTAGGTAAAAATTTGAATACGTCCTCATCATGTACAATGTAGTGTACATTATGTAATGAATCTAATAAGTTAATTAATCAGTGTAATATTATGTAATAATGCTTATAAATATAAATTTTTGTATTATATGCCTCGCTATTATACATAAATATCACATGTCAAAACATTGTAGTAATAATAACTGTACTGTATTGCTTACATTTATACAATCATCAATATTTTTAATAATAATATTTCAATAATGTAAAACAACAATTCTAGTGATCGTTGGTTGGTAAGACTTACCAAAATAATCAATTATTTAACTTTTAAGGGTTTGTTTTGTAATTATATATTATCTAAATTCGCATAAATAATATTTTACTTAAAACATGTAACAGCCTATATAAGTTTCACTAATTGGCACAGGCCTACCCCCATGTTTGAAAGGTTGGCATCAGGAAATAATACTTCAGCTACTTTTCGGCAAACTCCAAATATTTTTTTTGGTAAATCCTCATTTTTTATAATTCAATTATAATATCGGTGGTCTCGGCGACTAGGCTTGCTAAATACAATAAAATTTAAAACAAGCTCCCATCACCTTAGCTTTGTTAGCTGATTCGAGGAGGATGATGATTGACTTCTGCTTTCTCTCGCTCGTCTGGCAAGCATTTCGCAATAATAAATAAAATCAAACACTTGAGCAACTCTTTTTTCCTCTTTACATCACAGTAAGATATTATTTTAAATTTTCTCTGTGCAATATGATAATACTCTTACGCCATTCAATTTTACAATGGCAGTTTTTTCTTCGAAGGCTTGGTAGTGTAGAAACTAAGTGTTAGGATGTGTATGAAATGCCACTTTTTTATAGCATAAATGTGGTAAACAAACACATAGTCCACATGGTTGTAAGTGGATGCTGTGACATATAGTCTAAGATTAAGACTTGGAGTATATAACATTTATCCTCAATTAAGAATCAAAATGTAGAAGCGTTGTCACCCTTGAAGACTAAGACGGAATGCTTCATTTTCAGTAACGAGTCTCCGTTTCGCTACATTCACCGTACAAAACATTCTTCTTCTCATTATATTTATATATATATATATATATATATATATATATATATATATATATATATATATATATATATATATTATATATATACAAGTATATATAGAATTACTATCAATAGAGGTAAAATCTACGTGCTCCCAAGTAGTGTGCGGTTCGTTAACGTGTAGTCGGTATTCTTATCATCCCATTTTCACTATAACGTTACATAGAAATTTACCTTAGAACATAATATTTAATTACCAAAAAAACGCGACAAGGACATTTCATTTCCCGCCTGCATATAAAACGATTAATTAACAAGATCAACAACATCTTGTAACCGCATAGCATACAAACGAGCTCGGGTGTTTAAAAACAAGATGGAACTATCCTATACCAGAAGTCGTTCGTAATTTTTAATTGTTCCACGGATGATTTCCCGGATGACTTGGATTTATTACACGTTTCGTACAATTACCAGGAAATATTTATTATAGTTCTTGGTGAGTAAAGCTGAGTTCTAAAAATAGACCTTGGGTGGTCTATTTTATATATAAAAATAATACGTTACTAGTATATCATTATTTTAACTCCTGTGTGTTTTTATAGTATAAGGGTGATAATCGAGCACATAGTCCACCTGGGAGTAAGTGGATGCTTTGGCATAAAGACATCTACGTCTATTCTCAATTAATCAAAATGCTGATGTTCTATGATGTTTTCAGTAAAAGGGTCTCTGTTTATTTACACTCACCATACGAAACACAGCAGAATTAGGCAGCTATTTTACGTTAGTATTCTGTGAAAGCGTGGTTCTTCTCCGGTCGAGCCCACCCATTCGTGCTACAATCGAAATATAGCTGCGGCGTGGCTAAATCCTGTTCCTACACAAAATGAATATCGAAATATTCTACGTGATGATAAACAGAAATTGAGATGGCAAAATTTTAAAAAAATTGTTATAACAGTTACTTATAGTTTAGGGTAATTTACAAACATCTTTCGCAGAGTTATATATTATAGTGACATAGTGTAAACTTAAATATTGTATATTGGCGATGAGATAAGTTAAAAGTAAAATATTAACAACGTGAACATGTTGTTTGTTGTGTTATGTATGATAAGTAAGAACCGAAGACTCTTTTAAACTACTAACTAAGCATTCCATTTATTCCTCAGGGGTTTAAGCTTAAGTTTAAGCTACCCGGAAAAATGTAGACCTATTTGAAGCTGTGGTAGCGCCAAAGTTCGAGACAGTATTTCGTTACAATTTAATCCTTTTATAATAATGTTAGTCACGGCTAAACGTGTCCTTTTCATTGCAATTTTAAGCCGTCTTTAAAAAAGGAATAGGTTCTCAATTCGACACAAATGCATTTTTAGATCTCTGTCGAGGATGGACTTAGAGTCAGTTCACACCGAGACGCGACGCGACGCAACGATGCTTGAAGAGGGCAGTGGTTTCGCAAAGCGCAGCGCAACGGCGCAAGACGCATCGCGACGTCGCGAGGCGCATCTTTAATTCGCTGGCAGCGCACGCATTTGCACGCTGCGCGTTCCGACGAAATACAGATGGGTCGTAATGCGACGCAACGCGCCACTACGCCGTAGTATTTTAAAATTACCTCAATAAAAAGTGTATCTTTTTATGTAGTTAATAAAGTTATATTTTATATTACTATCTTAAAATCTGCGCACCGCGTCGCTTCTCATCACGTCTCGGTGTGAGTTGACCTTAGGTATCTCACACCGAGACGTAATGATATTTTTGTAATGACAGTTTGTCGTCCTTACTTCAGTTTATAAAATAAGAATATAAAACGAATCACGGAAATGGCGTTAAAATAAATGTATGATTCACATAAAGAGCAACTTAGTATTGTGGAGTAAATTGAGAAGTTACGAAGTTTGCGCAAAATTATAGCAAAGATTCAAAGTAGCGGAGAGTTGAAAACGTACACGGCAACAAATAAATCCCGAGTTTTGAAAGTTTTCCGCGGCAAATCTCTTCCGACCTTTCTACTGAATGTACTTTTATATTTTCAAAATAACCATTTTGAAACTACTACGGAGTAGCGAATAAAAGTTGAAAGTTGACGATCGAAGGTTTCTAGCAAATAAAACTTTCGGGAAATGATACCAGAAGCGTTTTAGTAACATAAACACAATAACAAAGATCCTTATTAAAATTTACGAAATTATTATCATGTTTACATCAAACACGCTACGCTGTAAACGAAAAAGTAATCAGAATTTTAAGCAAACTCTACATTCATTACGGTAACGGATTTTTATTTTCTTTTAGCATTGTATTTTCCTGAGGAAACCTTATACGACGGTTACGAAAATAACTACTATAGCAAGAATTTTTATATATTTGTACAAACAAAGCTTTCCCTTCTTGATGTAGAACAAATAAATTTCCTGTCGTATTGACTCGAAGTAGCTATTGTGCAGTGTTACCAGAATGGTAAATTTCTTATATTTTAAGAAACTTTTTATTTACCGATGTAACATATAACATGCAGTTGTAAGAAATAATGAATAAATAAACAAAACTGAAATAAAATATTTGTGTTTGCCGTGTTAAAATTCCGTTTTTCGATTATGCTGTCATTATTATATATAACTGAATAAAAAAAACTATAATAATATGCAAAAATTACGATTTATCGCAGATCAATTAAAAATAGCCCTTCGTTACGAGTTATTTAGAGAGTATTTAAAAAAGTGTCGCCTGTGCAATCTATTTTCATTACATTAGACATTATATATTACTCAGCGTTGCCAACATGTGGGGAATTACCCAAATTGCGGGGAATTTAAAATATGTTGAGGATTTTTTGGGAATTGGTATATGTGGGGAAAATGCGGGAATTTTGAAAATCGATAGTCCTGGCCAAGAAAGAACCCGTTTTCAAGAAATCTAAATAAACATTTTTGTTAGTTTACTTATGAATATCGAATTACTCCCTTTTTTAATTTTCCTGATTGCACCACATTTAATTTTCAGATTTATTTCGACAATTTTTGTGTATCATTCAACGCTTTTAATTTCTTTTTTTAATCGCATTCTAGGACCAGTGTTTCTGACACAAGGACCTAACAGACAGCGATACCTAAACTTTATAAATGAACAGTTGATTGGCATTTGAGACGCCCTATCGTTGGCTGAATATCGCTGCACATGGTTCCAGCATCACCGAGCCTCATGATGATCGCTGGATAGACATACTAGGACCACACACTTGGCCACCTCACTCACCAGATCGGTTCGGTATGTGAAATAAAGGGATTTTAATCGTGTGATAGTGCTGACGAAATGCGCCAAAGGATCGTGGGTGTTTTCGAGAAACTACGTGCGTCCTGTGTCGAAGACTCAACGATGATGCCCCGCCTGCATGGGGAGACGCAACGCTGAGCCAAAATCTGCCTCGAAATGAATGGAGCACAATTTAAGCTGCATCTCATAAAGTCACGGAGGATTTAGATCGGTAAGCTGTTTCATAACATTTTTTTTAAATAAGTTAGTACTGAACTGTCCTAAAAAAGTGCCTAGCTGAATACATCAG